GTGTGTGTGTGTTTGTATGTGTGTGAGAGTGTGTGTGCGTGTGTGTGTGTGTGTGTGTGAGTGCGTGCGTGTGTCTGCATGTGTGTGAGAGTGTGTGTGAGTGTGTGCATGTGTGAGTGTGTGCATGTGTGAGTGAATGTGTGTGCGTGTGTCTGCGCGTGTGAGAGTGTGCATGTGTGTGTGTGTCTGCATGTGTGTGTGTGTGTGTGCGCGTGCGTGTCAGAGCTCAGCCTCTCTGATCTAAAGCGTCTGATACACACACTTTAATCAGTCTGAATAAGCTCTTTTGCACTACAAATAATTTTTTTTGCACTACAATCACTAATTACTGCACTGTTGTTTACTTTACTGGTTTGCACTCTATCTGCCATATGCCTTGTGCTTTATATATATATTTTTACATTTGACCTTATTTGTATATTTGTATAGTTGTATTTTGTATTTAATCTGTATTTATGTTATCTGTATGCACCCAAGGGTCTGAGAGTAACGCAATTTCAATTCTCTGTGTGTATGTGCTGTACATGTGGAAGAATTGACAATAAAGCAGACTTGAACTTGATAATCTGCTGACCATCACAGCAGCTGCAGCTCTGATCTGAACAACATCGTCAGCTTCACTCAGTCAGGTGACGCTGATCACAGGAAGTGTGTGTGATCGCAGCTGACAGGCCCTGCCCCCTGCGGTGATGTCATCACAGACGTCAGTCAGCTCTTCTGTCAGCCTATCAGAGGCGTTTCCTGGCCTGTGATTGTAATGTACATGTGCCACTCATGATGAATCCCATGAGCCTCTCTGGCTGTTGACCTTGGTGAAGCTGAACTCAGATCAGTTACTGTGATTCTGCTTCTTTATCTGCTGCTGGTCTGCATGTCTGTCTGGTTATATATTTGTTTTTGTATCAGTCTGTCCATGAATCTGTTTCTTTTGTATAATTTCTAGTCAGCTGTTTTATGAAATCAATCCATTACTGTAATTGTGTCAGTGTGTCATCTGGTGCACAGCAGTCTCTCTCTCTCTCTCTCTCTCTCTCTCTCTCTCTCTCTAAACCAGTCCCCTGTTAGATGTTGTTTCGATGTTTAACCGAAAACCAGTTAGTGCTTCAGACCATTTAGATCCAGCTTCATTTCCCCTTTAATTCAACACTAATCAGATTGCAGCTTTTCATTGTAATTATGATTTCAATCCCGCAAAAGAGAGAGAGAGAGAGAGAGCATCAGTGTGAGTGAGGAGGGGCTGACGTGTGGATACTCACTGGAGAGCAGTGGGAGGAGCCTCGTAATCCTCTCAGCCAATGGCGCGCCGGTGAGGCTGCATCACACAGCATCATTTCATTGAGTGCCGCTCAGCTGAGCTCCAGCGCTTCATCTGCTGCTCCTGTCCCGGACAAAGGATGACATCAGCGCAGCTTCACTGAGAAACACTCATGTTCATATTCCTCTCATCTCCGCTGCAGAGCTTTCCTGACTGAGATGCTCTTTCAGCACATGAACCGTTAGCGGCGAGAGAGGAGGAAGAGGAAGAGGACGAGGGGGAGGGGAGCCGAGCCGCAGAGAGAGAGAGAGAGAGAGAGAGAGAGAGAGGAATCACACAGGAGAAGCAGAATTCCAGAAGCACCTGTTCCCCTAATATGATCATGGATATTAACATCCAGTCTCACCGCTTCTACTTCCCGCAGATCTACTGCGAGCCCGGCGTGCCGCTCGCCGACATCAAGATCAGGTACGTTCCTCCTCGTCTCTGAGACGTGCGGCTGAACCGGAAGACGAGGGACGTACGGATGAAGCCTGATTTACAGCTTCAGACGGATCCTCTTTTGTTCTGGTGATCTCAGAGGCCTGGAGGAGACTCGCTGTTACCATGGAAACCGGTTTAGTGCTGATGTGTGTGTGTGAACTAATGGATGGATGATAATAAACAGGAAAATATATCAGTGTTAATGTTGTAAAATTTCAGCTGTAAAGCAGCTCTGCAGAAGACAATAGAGTCATGATTCAGATCAATTCAGTTTCGTTCTGATCTGATGGCAGTGCAGTTAAATCCATAATATAACTGAATATTAATTGTTATGAACGTTACATCTGTGGATTATACGATCAGCTGTAGGAAACGATAAAACAGGCCTCAGAAAGCCCTGAAGCCGAGCGATGCGGTTTCACTGCTGGATCAGTTTCTCTGATTCGTTCCAGAAGATTCTGCTGCCAATATTAGAGCCGATCTTACAGGAGCAGCTGAAATATTCCCTCATTAGATCTCAGATGTCGCTCCTGCTGTTATTTACAGTAAATCGTAAGTGTTGATGATGCATTGCAGTGATGAGGAGTGTTATGAGATTGTCTTCCTCAGCCGTTCTTTATTAAGGCCAGTGAAATATTCCACTCCGGTCGTCCTGATGTGTTTCTGCAGTCTGCAGTGAACGGAGAGCATGAGAGACGTCTGAGACTCACCGAGACTGCTCAGTTCTTTCTGTGGTTGTGGATTTTTGCTCCAAACCAACACTGTGTTTTCTGCTTATGTAACAGCCAGACTCATAGTTCTGTCGACTCAGTTCCTCGTTCTGTGAGTGTGTGTCAGGACTGTGTTCTTTGGCTGTAGAC